CTTTTTAAATAAATAGTAAGAGAAATAAACTTTTAAATAATTAAAATGCTGTTTTTTATTACTTGTTTTGAAAATATCATTTTCAAAATTTAAATTATTCTTTCTGCTCTTAAAGTAATGCTTTAAGATGACTGTAAAAATAATCAGTAAATAAGTAAAAAAATAAAGATTAAGAATATTTGAGATATGAATTGCTGCTGCTACAGTAAGTGGATGAGATTGTTTATGGGGAGCGAAAAGTAGAAAAGAGCATGAAACAATTCAGGAAAATTTGTTTGAATGGCAACAGGAGGACAGAGCGACTCTAAGAAGCAAGAGCAGTGAATAAACAGCAAAAGAGATTTGAAGTGAAAGAAATAAGGAAGCCATAAGAGACTGTTTAGAATGACAGGAGAATGTATAGAACGTGATGCAGCCACATGCAGCACCATATAAAGGGTTTCACTGGCTCAGGAGTGTCTGCACAGTATGGTCAAAAAAGTCAAGATGGCAATGCACATAAAAACCTGTTTTTTCCTCTTTCTTTTGCCTTCCTGTGTTTAGCCCGGAGACGTAACTGAACAAGGGCTATGAGATAAGAGAAAGAAATTTGAAAGATCAGTTCAGCATGGAAATTTAACTGAAATACTTTCAAATCCAACCTCTTTTTATATCCCTAACATAAATAATGAAGTATAGCTAAGCTAATAATGAGGCATTAGCTGTTTCAAATTCCAGAAAAAAATACAAAAAATAATTCATGGAGAAAAAAAGAGAATTATTAACATTAATCTCCTTTTCAAGACCGCGGCTGATCACCTCACTTAAAGAGATGGCTCTGTTGTTGTTGTTGTTCCTTCTTTACAATCATGTTGATAGGGACACGATAGAGAATGCTAGCCATGTTTGTTGTCTGGGAGCATTCATAGTTTTAAGTATATACCATTAAAAATATTTTGATAATATTTTCAATCATAAATATTGTTTTGATAATTTGAGAGTTGTTAATAAGTATAATGTCCCCCTCAACCCAGATAATTCAACAATATAATTCAATGACCACTCTATGGCTTTCCCTGATATAATTTCCTTCCATACAGTGTCACAATTTCAGAAAGAGCAGATCAAAATGACATACACAAAAGTCAATGCTTCTGGAAAAGGATTTGGGCCTGAAGAGCAAGATAAGTAATGGAAAGTGTCATGCTTATTATTAACTCACAGTGATGCAAATATTCTCCTAGAATCCCTTTTCAAAGGAACTGTCCACTCTCACTAACTAAACTTCAGCACATGAGTTAATAATGCTTTGATATTTGGTTTAGACAGCTATTCCTGTCTTTTGGATCATCAGAAACTCTTTTATGGTAAGAGCTTTTCCGAAACCTGGTCTTGAAGTCTGAACCAGAAGCAAGCAAGGTTTGAAATATACTTAAATTGCATGTGTTTATGAACTGCATGATCTTAGCAGACAGAGGCTTCACGGAAGTGCAACCATGTTTTGACTTTGATTCTGCAGGAAAAAATAATTGCTATACTTCATGAAACACAGAATTCTTTTTGTTAAAGGACTCAATAGTATTTCTTTCTTCCTGAAAATCTCTCTAACTTAGGCTATTTTCTGCTAAACAAATATAATACTGCTTAAAAATAATTGGGATACATCACCATCCAATCAGAAGAGAAAGCTGTGATTTTCACAACAAGCACAAAGCAGATGGGATCACTTGGTTCCATAAAAAGCAAAGCTTCTAGCAATTTCAAGAAAAAGAAGGGCAATCATGGTTGCTACAGACACCCCCATGTTTTTATACTCCACAAGCGATCAGAGATATTATTGATTGCTTAGACTAACTTTTCTAAACTGGCACCTTTTACATTTGCTGGATCATCTCTCATACTCTCCAGCAAACAAATCCCAAATCATTGTGTCAGCAAATTAAAAATTAGGATCACAAGATATACAGGATAAGTTAAAATAATAATTTTCAAGTTTGGTATAAAGGAACATCAGGGAAAGGAGTGTTAAGATAACATGGTTCAAAATCTGCATATTTATTTTGCTATTTTTTAAATGAAGCAAAATATCTACATATGGTAGGACCCCTGACAGAATTACATTCAGGGCATTGTTTTTTTGTCATTAGGTCTTCATGTTGGGGAAAGGCTTCTCTGACTGAGTCATAAGCTTTTTGAAAAACATACAGGAATCATACCAATACATAATTTGCCAAGCCTAAATAGCCCCTACATCATATGTAGATGAGGAATGGGTAGAAATAAAAAGATGCAGGACTTTCAAATTTCTCCTGCATTTTGAGTAGCCTGAAATCCCTATGAATAATCACTAGCTATACCCCCCCCCAAAAAAATGTAGGTATCAACAGTATATAACTATGGCTCAGGACTCAGGTATAGTACAACTTCCCTAACTAGCCCATCAGGTAATGCATTTTTCATCAAGCAGTTGCATTCTGCTCACATTAATTCATGTTTCAGGCTGTTTCCTGCATATTTCTAGTAATCTCACTTCTTGCTACACATTCTTAGCAAGACTTTTAATAGCTGTGTGTACATGAATAAAAGAAAAGAACCAAGTGTTTTTGCTTGTAGCCAGACAGGTAAATGATTCTTAGAGGAACAGAAATGTGACATAGTGAATCTCCAAGATCACTTCATTCTGTCATCCAGATAACAATTCGTAGATCAAATTTAATGGTTAAATAAGCAGAGTCTGGCTTGGAAGATGAGGATGTCATAATAAAGCCTGCTCTTTCAGTGTGTGGTGTATGATATACAGTATGATTACTTCTAAACAGCCTGGAGATTTTGGAATTTGATTTTTATAATGCTTTATAAGCAATCAATATTTATCCACTTGCTAATATTTGCTCGATTAAAAACTTAGACATTGTTGTCATTTTCAAATTAGAATATATAAAACTAAAGTTGGACTTAGGGAAAATGTAAAGTACATCATGTGTAGAGCTAGTTTGGTCTAGTGCAGTGTTTCTCAACCTTGACAATTTTAAGGCATTTGGACTTCAACTCCCAGAATTCCACAGCCAGCAATGCTGGCTGTGGAATTCTGGGAGTTGAAGTCCACATGCCTTAAAATTGTCAAGGTTGAGAAACACTGGTCTAGTGGTTAAGGCACAAGGCTAGAAACCGGGAAACTGTGAGCTCTAGTCCTGCCTTAGGCATGAAAGCCAGGCGAGTGACTTGGGAGAAGGAAGAAATATTGGATATGTTTGGCGCCTTGAGTTATAAACAAACAAATAAATAAATCAGAAGCAGTAATTGTGAAGTTTTAGAGCCCCAGGCTTATGCTTAAGCAAATGTAATACCTTTAGCTGGTTTATCCACCAGCTTCATTCCACCAAATTTCTGTTAGCCCATTTAAAATAAGTAAGTGTTCTATGGCACCTTAAATGCTAAGATAAATTTCTACATTTATTATTAGAAGGTGGAATCTTACAGAGGAAGATACTTTATCAGTCCCCACTAATATAAAGAAGCTCCATCAGCAAGAAAATACCATTATAATATGAGATATATGAAGTTTATAACAGTGAAAGCTATAGATAGGTTTCCTGGCATAATGCTTTTCTAGATCCAGACCTGCTTCACTTACGAGAAAGATCCAATCAAAGTCCTCTTTCCAGCTATGGAAAATTCCCTCCTATTGTAACCAACAGGAAAGGAAAAGAGGGGATCCTAGTATACCAAGGGGAAGGGGGTATCTTCCATTTAATCAGCATTTAAGTTTTATAGACAAATCTCAGTTTTGGAAGCCCGTTGTCTTATCACCAGGAACTAGGAGGCATCTATATAGCACGGATACGTAGATTTAACAAGAGAAAATTGAAAAAAGCTTTTGTAAAAAACAGTGCTCCAAATACATTAAATGTAAAGAGATAAAAAGATCTTATTCTTGGATTGAAGTGATAACAAGATGGTAGGTAAATTATTTTCAGCACAGAAGACTGTAATAGTTTTCAGATCATCAGAGCAAAATGAGAAGAAGCTCACGGTGGAGAGTGACACTTTCTAATTTTAATCTGGAAATTTTAATCTTCAAAATCAACAGATGACTTATACAATTTATGATCTACCATGCCAAATGTATATATTGACCAAATATTGTTCTCTTTCTCTTTCTACACTTAATTATCACCCTTTCTCCAGTGCTTAGAAGTTCCAGGCATAAAACGCAGCAGTTTTCCTAGCTTTTGGTTGGCCTCCTTATAAACCTGATGGACTCTTCAGCTTGGCAGATCATAAGAAGTGCAGGCCTGGTTTAAGAAGGTCCAAAATAAACCTGCAATCAATGGATGAAAGGCTATTTGGCACAAGAGCCCTTTCCTCCATTCCGCTGCACAAAGGCCGTCTCATCACAAAATGCCCCTTCCCGCAAACCCCTTCCACAGCCACCTCCGGCATTTCCAGTTGCCCTCTGCAGGAGGGCTTAACAGACCTCCCCAAAGGAGAACCCCCGCACATCTCAGAAATCTGCGCTCCTCTTAGTGAGGAGAGGAAGACGGACGCTCCCAGTATCCCGAGGGCGTCCTTGGGTTCTCCCAGGTGCGAAAGGGGTTCTCCTAGGTCCCCTTCGACGTAGGGCCAGTCTGGCGTCCAAGCCGAGAAGCCCTCACTTTCTCCCCCGTCCCACCATCGCTTCTCTCAGAGCAACACTTTTCACAGGATCCTCCTCAATCATTTCCGCCCTGGTGTCCTGGCTTCTCTCTTTTCGCCGCCACCTCTTTCAGTTTCCAGGACGGCCCGCTACAGTTATTTTGGCACGAGCGGGCTCTTGAGCAAGCCCCAGCCATCTCTCCCTGCGTGGGATGCTTCGCTGATGTCATGCTCTCGCTCAGCTGCCTGCACACAAGCGCCCGGCCTCTCTCCCTCTCTCTTTCTCGAGAACGGGCTCCGCCAAGAGGGCTAGAAAGTTAGCCGATACCCTCCATGGCTTCCGGGAAGCAAAGTCTCGAGAATAAACAAGCCGCCCGCCCTCTTACCTCAGGCACAGAGTGGCTGGATCGGCACGTGTTTGTGCGTGGCGCGCCGGGGCAAGGAACGCCTCAGAAGCTCCGGCGCAGCAGCAAACGCCTCTCGCTCTGCTGCCGGTCCTCCCTTTGCAGGTGAGCCTTTCCCTGTTCCTCCTCCTTCTCCTCCTCTTCCTCCTCCTCTACCACCTCCACCTCCTGCTGTTGCAACTGCCGCCGCTGCTGCCCGCTTGCCCGTGTTGTGTGTGCGCGCCCTGAGCCACTGCAGCATCTCTGCATAAGGATGTGCTCCTCCCTTCCCCTCCCTCTTCCCTGCGCGCGTCCGCCCTCCAGCAGCGTTCAAGGGGCTAAAGAGGGGGTTCCCCCCTCCCTTTCCACTCTGCCTTTCCCTCGTTTGCCAGCACCAGGCAGCGCTCGAGGCAGAGAGTGACTTGCAGCTCCACCCATAATTGTCGGGCTTCAGCTGCGCGGCTGCCTCTTTTGGCGCCCTTCTCGTTTCAGGGAGACAGCCTCCTTTTAACACTTCTCTGAACTAGGTCCGGTTGCTTTGGGTTCCTCCGGCCTCTAGGCCGTGGGGGAAACAAAATGGTTTAATGGTTAGCGTTAGAAGCCGATCTCTGCCCCCATCCCACCTCAAGCAATTACAATGGCAAAGAAATTCCGACCTCGAACCTGTTCCTGGTCGAGAGAATATTTGATCTCGAAATTGCTCGTCCAGCAAGCAAGGTCTTGCTGAAGGACTTTGACCAGCATCTTCCCTTTTTTTTTTTTTTTTTTTTTTGCAAATGTTGCTGCTCCCAATTGCTAGGATTCATAGCAAGATGAACAATCCTTCATTACCTGTTCTTGGCTGAAGTATGTTAAAAGCTACAATAATAGCACTCTTGACTGAAAGCAGAACTTAATTTGAGATTTTAATGTTGTGCTTCCCAATATAACTGTAGCTGTATATTTCTTTTTTCTTTCTTTTTGTTTTATAATCATTTTATTAAGGATTAGATTTATATTATATAGATAAAAGTAATGCAAAGTGCAAAAGATAAAAAAAATAAAAATTAGGAAAAAAAGAAAAGAAAAATAAACAAACAATAGAAAAAGCCTCCCCCTTCATCTCCAGCAAGTATAGTTAACATTAACAATTTATTATCATCTTTTAAAATACAACATCCCATATTTTACCCCATTCAAATATTTTAAAGAAATCTTTAAAGCCTCTTTACTCCATCCTAAATTAGTAAAAAAAAGTCCATTAAGAATTAGCAGAAGCAACAATGCAACTATTTCTAACTATATTTAATACACTTTGAATTCTTCCTTTTACATTTCTATTTTATTTTTGTATTTAATCCAATCTCCTCAATCTTACCAACAAAACCTTTAAAACACTGTCGTCTTGTCCTACTTAGCATAAACCTATAAACATTACTAGAAATAGCAGCCCATTTATTTTAGCTTTGATCAAATAAATTAACTTCATGTTCTTTTCCCTTTCTCACAATTTTAGTCCCCTCATATAATGTCTGTTTCCTTTTTATGCTCTGTTTGTCTCTTCTCATAAAATCATTGGCAACTTTAACAAGTTCCTTTTGTACATCAAGTGTGAGGAAATTATCCATGTCACTTTTCATATTTTCACTGTCTCTTCCCAAGAAATCGTTGGCAACTTTAACAATTTATTTTTATAAATACAATATAAAAAGGTAATCCACATCACTCTTCTGCTTTATTATTTGTATGGCATTTTTGATTATTAAAAATCATCCACTTTCATTTGTATATCGAACAATTCACCTTTTTGTGTATCCTCTATTAAACTTTTCCCATCTCCTTCTTATAAGCTGTTGTTCTAAAATCCACATTTAAATCAATTTCAGCTTTATTCGATGGAACTTGTTCATCTTCCATGACACCATCTAGTATAGCTATAATAGCAGATAACTTTAAAGTTATTTTTCTGAAACCAATACAAGGTAGTTCTTAACTTATGACCACTATTGAGCCTAAATTTTCTGTTGTTAAGAAAGAAAGTTGTTAAGTGAGTTTTACCCCATTTTATGACCTTTCTTGACATAGTTGTTAAATGAATCACTGCAGTATTTAAGTTAGTAACACGGTTGTTAATGAATCTGGCTTCCCCATTGACTTTGCTTGTCAGGTTGCAAAAGGTGATCACATGACTCCAACATACTGTAACCATCTTTAATACATGCCAGTTGCCAAGCATCCAAATTTTGATCACATGATCATGGGGATGTTGCAATAGTCATAAGTGTGAAAAAAGGTCCTAAGTCCCTTTTTTCACTGCTGTAAATCGAAGAATCCCTGTAGTCACAGATTTCTCTCAATGGATAATTGATATATTCATTTCCTTCTGGAGCCCTCTAGTGATCAGCCTTCAAAGTCATCTTGTTTTTTTCAAGATGTAAACATACAAACTTTCCCATGGGAAGGACTCTTATAATTAATTTTAAAGTCTTCATGCAAGTTCATTTAGACCATTTCACGGGGGTCGCCAAACAACGCAGTCTGCCATTTCCCCCCCCTTTTCCTTAGCTGTGTACTCCCTTTTATTCTATTGGCTTTTGAAAGCCAATAGAACAGATTCTCTTGAATAGAGTCTAATTCTATTGGCTTTCAAAAGCCAATAGGAATTGTCCAGGGTGTCTCTGCCCTGCTGAGCCCGCCAAAAGTCCCATTCTGCAAACGGTGCTGCACCAGGTGAGTAGTCCTTGACTTACGACCGGTTGAGTAGTCCTCGACTTACGACTGGTTGGGGGTCGCGGCATTAAAAAGGTTGAGAACCACTGATTTAGACCCTTAATCTAGTTAAAATTTTATAAAATCAACACTCTAATCACCCTTAGCAGTATAGTCACAATTTTTTCTGCAAAACCCTAAGCTCATAATTAAAATTTCACCTAATGAATGTGACAAAATTTGCTGTTCTGAAGAATTTTTAAAAAGCAGTTTAAAAAACAGAAAATCCAAAATTATTTAGGTTCAGTTAAGTTCATAAAGGCTATATTGATAGCAATGAGTTCAGTAGAATCCCATGATTCCCAGCTATTTGCAAGCTGACTGTGAAAGCCTCAATTCCTACCATCTATTCACAAAAAACAGCTGTCCAGAATATGTATTGGCAATCTCAAGATCTCTCCTTTGTTTGGAGAGATTTTGGCAGTCAAGATCCAATATCCAGCCACCATTTGCAATTGTCAATATGTCTGTAGGAAGTCAGTTTGCCATTTCCTCACTAGAAGTCTCTTGCGATATGTTCCTTTTCTAATGCCTGTGTTCATATGCATGTGTTTCTGAGCCTGCGCAGATCACTGTTCCCCACTGCTAAAGAATCAAAACCTAAGTCAGGGTAGATGATCCTAGGGAAGAGAATTATAATAGATTGTATTGACTGCTGAGGATAAGTGCAAAAGGAGCACATGATCTGATTGATACACTGCACTATAAAATCACAAGCCAAAAAGGGGCGCATGATCTGGTTCCACACGATACACTACACTATAAACTCACAATCTACATTTTATCCTGATGTGTGAATTTTGCCTGATTAGTTAATGACTCAGGTTATGATACGAAGTTAGGCAATTTGATTAACTGATTAAACCATGGTTATCATGACAGTACAATGTTCATTACATGAATGGACCACCTCTGAACAAAACAAGAGCTTTTGTGTCAGTGCCTTGCTACAGAAGAGCAAACAGCCTTGGCACTCTTACCTCTTTGCAGTGATCTTCTTAGCTACTGCTTTTAAAGAACGATGTAGAAGCAATGATTTGGCTAAAAATTGGAAATGGTTTAGAGAAGAAGGCATCAGATAGTTGGAGGAGACGGGGGACATCCAAATGCAAAGATATACACGGAAAACAAGTTTAAAGATTTAAAGAACTGCTCCAGGAAAAAAAATATAATACCAAAAGTCAAGTTGATCTTTTGATTGATTATGATTCAGAGTGCTCTTAAAAAGCTATTCAAAATGTAATGAACTAAAGAAATTTCTGAACATCTGGATCCTCTCCCTAAAATATGGGCAAGTCTTTTATGGGGGTTCTAAATTTCATTGAGGCTTTATTTTGTCTTCCCAAACTTTAAACATTAACTTTTGCCATTTGGTAATATATGCAATATATTACCATTTGGTAATATATGCAATCATCAATCTAGTTAGAAGAGGGATTCCATATAGTGCATCAAATTTTCATTCAGCAACTGCCTCCAACAGTTATGACAGTGATGAAAAAGTGAGTTGATTTCCAGAAAACTTCCTTCACCCAGCTGTGTGGGATTGTACCTTTCTGATGCTGTAAAGCAAAGGAAAACTGAAGTAAAATTGTAAGTAGACTTGCAGTCACATAATTTTTCACTTACTGCTTTGCTTAATGACCAAGTTTTTGCCCCCAATTGTGGCTGCTAAACAAGGACAACCTGTACACCTCTGCCTTTCCAATGATGGAGGAAACTCATAGAAGACACTGTGGACATTTCCAAACAACTTAAAAGAGAAGCTTTATTCCATATCTGTCTTAAAAAGAAAGAAAGAAAAGAAAAAAGAAAAAGGATTGATTTTTTTTTCAGAGCAAGACTGTCCAAAGAGATGATAATGGGATAAATCAGTTCTGGAATCTGATTCTGGGAAATAAAAATATTCAAGCAACTTTTATTTCTGAATGTTTTATTAAAATGTGAATTTATTCCATTTTTTAAAATTCTAGAAGTCATAAACCACAGGTGTTTAAAAATACCCATATAAAATTTTTAATTTAGTATGTTATTACTAAACTATGGGTATTTGTTTTAAGTAGCTATTAAAATACTGCATTTGAACCTGTAATTCTCTTAACTGTACATACAAAATTTCATTTCTGTGGAAATTCAGTGAAGTAGGATATGATCTGTCTTGAATTTAGTTTCTTTGGGAGATGGGCAGCTTCATAAATTTGTTATGAAACAAGCAAATACTGATTTCCTACAACCCAATTGTGGCAGAAAGTTCACAGCAAGAAAAGAAACCAGCAGCTTCTTACATTCATCACCTGATGGTTGAAACAATACATCAACACCAAGACTAGCAGCCAGTGATTGTCTTATACCTCGTTAACTTGTCTAGATCCAAGTTAAAGCCACCAAACATGGTGGCCATCACCAGGTACAGCTATGGCTTTCAGAAGCTGACTGTGCAGAGTGAGCTACACTCTTTTTTCTGACCTGAATATTTTCGGAGCTAAACATAGAGATGTCGCGCTGGTTCCTCAATCATTTTGGATGCTTTTGTTTAAAAAAAATCCCCTGCATGTTTCCAAGCTTTAAAGTTTTCTTTTTGATGTCTGAGAGCCAAGATGATATTCCCTATGCCTAGTGGGATTG